TCACCGGTACCTTGCGAAGTTCTGCTTCCGCGGCTCGCACGGCTTGCCCTTGGCCTTGTTCTTCTCGCACCCGATGCACCAATTGTAGCCGCCGCCGCCCCGGGTGTCCCGAAGGGCCAGCTCGGTCGCCGTGCCGCACCTCTCGGCGATGCTGGCCGCCAGCTCCAGGCACTCGGGCCTCGTCTCCGCCTCGTCCAGGGCCCAGGCGAGCCCTCCCGTGTCCCTGGTCTTGCAGCTCTCGAAGTCGAACTTCGCCTTCTTCGGCTGCGCGGCCGCTGCGGCCGAGAGCGGCGTGGCCACCGCGGGTGCGGCGGCGAGCCAGCCGGCGACCGCCGCGGAACGCCGTCCGAGCGCGCCGGCGAAGGCCGTGCACCGCTCGCGCAGGCCCCCGCTGAAGCAGCACGCGAGGGCCACCAGAGGGAGCAGCACCGGGCGGAGCGGTCGGGCGCGCCCCGGCATGGCGCCCTCGCAGGGGCAGCGCCTGGATGGCCTGGGCTCCACAAGCTACGGGCAATGGACACGGAGATGGACAGCCCTGTCAGAGTGGGGATGAGGATGACCATCCCCCGCTCGGTGGCGTTGGTAGTCGCGAGAAACTAGGTCTCGGCTGAACTAGATCGGGATTCGAAAGTCACTCAGCCCGGCAAAAGCGTACTTGGAAATGCTCGGTCTTGGCTCAACCAGGTCGGCGCCTGAGACCTAGATCAGAAGGCCGATAAGTCCAGGTGTTGGCTAAACAGTACTCCAGATTTCGTAATAAAAGGGAGGGGGTCTGGACCCTCCAAGACAAGCCATTTCAGACCCCCCCCCGTGGGAGAACCCTCCAAAACATCGCCCCCGGACCCCCCCCGGCCCTCCAAGGTAGCCTGGAAGAGACCCCCCCCCCGAAATGAGACCCCCCTCCCTTTATTACGAAATCTGGAGTACGTGGCCGACTCCAGAAACCCGGAATCCCAAAATACTGACGACTCGTCTGTTCACGCCTGCCGCCGGCCTTCCGCGGGCTTCCGCCGGCGGGCCCGCCACACCGCTCTCCTGCCTCCGCCTGCTGCCGCCGGCCGTTCCGCCGTCCTCCCCGCAGGGGGGCGGGGCGTGCCGAAGACGAGGCCCTTTTCTGGAGCGCCCGCCACGGCGGCAGACTGTCGCACGCTACGGATTCGCCCACCTCCACTCTCGCTGGCAGTATGTATGTGCCAGCCCGGTCTTCGATCGTGGCGCAGCCGACAAGGGCGTCGGCCGCGGACCCTTCCATCAAACTCCACACGGCTCCACATCGGCCTCGTGTCTTTGCATCGGCGTCGCCGAGATCGGCGCTGATGTCTGATGAGATGCCGTGGAATAGGAGGAGGATGAGGATAAAAATAAGGATGAGGATGAGGATGAGGATGAGGATGAGGATGAGGAGTAGGTGGAAGAAGAGGACGAGATACGAAAGAGGGACGAGGATGAGACGTGGGAGAGGGAAAGGGATGTACCGAGCAACACAGACACACATGTTTCGGGACCAGGGTGAAACATGATGGCCGCGCCTACGATTGCGGGGACCAGATATCAATGTGCACTAATTGACAACGACCAGCACAAAGAAAGGAGCTGACAGGACGGGCGAGAGGAGGAGGAGAGAGGAAGGAGAAGCGACGAGAGGGGGGGAGTTACACCTGGTGTCGCTGCAGCCGATGGATCGACCGAGCGGATACTGCTGTAGAAGACCACGCCGCACTCAGCAAAGATGGCAAGCAGACCAGCTCAGATCTAGGTCGCCGAGTCCCCCTCCCACGTCTCGTCGTTCTCCCTCCTCCTCCTCCTCCTCCTCGGCGTCGTGGCAGCAGGAGGAAGTCAATATTCAACATAGCTGTTAGAAAGCGCAGTCTTGAGGTACCCCTGGATATATATATATTCAGATCAACCCTCGCAGCATCCGACGGGCACCTTGGGCGCGCAATATGGCGACGCCTCCTTCTCCCACCCCCCACCACCTCCCCCTCCTCCTCCGCCCCCTCCTCTCCCTTCTCTCCTCATCCTCATCCGTCCCCAACCCATCATCCTTCCACCCTCCTCATCCTCCCCTCCTCCTCCCCCCCTCCACTCCTCATCCTCCTCCCCCTTCCCGTTCCCTCGCTCCTGCTTCCCCCCCCTCCTCCCCCGCCCTCCTCATCCTCGAGCATCCTCCCCCGCCTTCCCCGCCCTCCCCCCTCGCTCCTCACTGGCTTCGCTGGCCACACCAGAAGAGACACGTCGCCCAAGCACGGGAGGACCCGAAGAGAGTGTGACAGGATGCCCGTCGTCGCTGCCGGTGGGGTTGCACGAGAGTGAGGCGGAGAGGGGGCGAAGGTTATGTTGTTCTGATCCTTCTTGAAGACCACATCCCAGAAATAATTTCGAGCACCCGGAAAAGTGTCAAAAGAGAGTCGAAAATAGCCGAAACAGTGTCGAAACAGTGTCGGGCGAGTGGAAGCCCTTGAGTTTCGGCACTTTTCGGGGGCGCTCGAGATTCTTCCTGGTGGTCGAGGCTAAAGTGGGCTGGAGCAGCAGAAGGCGACGGGCGCGAAGGCCCCGCGCGAGCCTGCTCGCAGCCGCGACTGTGCCAGCCGAGGCCGCCGAGGCGGTGGATCACGTCGTCGCCGCTGTCTGGGCGCCAGGGGGCGCGGGGAGGCCTTCGAGGCTCGAGGGTTTCCTCCTCCTCCTCCGCCTCCTCCTCCTGCTTCTCCTGCTTCTCCTCCTCCTGCTTCTGCTCCTCCTCCTCCTCCTCCTCCTCCTCCTCCTCCTCCTCCTCCTCCCCGTGCCAATGCTGTTCTATACTCCTCGGGGGGAGTCGGCTGGGGACGCACGGGGCGCCACTAAGGGCGTGGATTCCCCACGCCCGACGAGCACCCCAGCCGAGCCCCCAGGGGAGTGAACAGCGGGGCGACAGTGGCAAGAGGCACGCTCAAGTGCCCTCCCAGCACAAGGAGCATGCGTCGCCCTAGACCGGACCTCCTCCAGCAGTGCTTATATTGCCCACCCTGCAGGTTCGGGTCGGAGAGCCACAGGCCCCGCCTGGGTGGTCACCCTGGTGGAACACGTTTCGCCAGTGGCAGGCTAAGCATGGCCCTCCTGAGCGAGGTTGACACCAGCTGCCTGTCGGCTCCGCCAGATGGTCTCAACGAGGACGCCGGAGGATTTCTCCTCCAGGAGCCTGCCAGCAATACTGGCGATCCTACACACCTTCCTTAGGAGGCATGCGCCTCCATGACACTGCCCGGTTTTGTCAATTTTCATTCGGACAAGTCGGAGGGTCTGACCTCCAGGACGCAGCCCGGCGGCAATGCCGGCGGTCCTGCACATTCTCATATCCTAGCGCGCGGCATGCGTCCGTAGGACATGGCCTGGCGCCAATGCCAGCGGAGAAGCATTCCAGTCGGAGGTTCTGCCCTCCAGGACACAGCCCGGCGGAAAGGCCGGCGGTCCTGCACAATCACCGTTGCCCATCTTGCAAGGAAGGTGGTCAATACCTCGAGGGCGCTCACCTCGAGATCTTTACTTCGTTGTCTGAAGGCACACGCGGGCATATGCTACGCTTGGCTCCTCGTGCGCAGGCGAAGGCCAACGGCAGTGCCAGATCTCGTGCATCCACAGATTATGCACGCACGTCGCGAGGCATTCGCCTCAAGGACACAGCCCGGCGGCAAAGCCGGCGGTCCTGCACAATCTAACTCTCTCCGCTTACCATGGCCTCGTCTTAGACGGTGGCCAACGGCCGTGCCAGCTGTCGTGCACCGCGGATGCTGCACACATGTCGCGAGGCCTTCGCCTCAAGGACACAGCCCGGCGGCAAGGCCGGCAGTCCTGCTCAATATCTTTTCGTCTGGCTACCATGGTTGTCTCCTATTAACGTCATTGCCAGTTTTCGTGCAATCGCAGATAATGCAGTATGTCGCGAGGCATTCGCCTCAAGGACACTGCCCGGCGGCAAGGCAGGCAGTCCTGCACAGTCTCACTCTTTGTGGTTACCATGGCTTGTCTCCTATTCGTCGATGGCCAGAGTCAGGGCCAGCTTTCGTGCGTCCACAGATTATGAACGCACGTCGCGAGGCATTCGCCTCAAGGACACAGCCCGGCGTCAAGGCCGGCAGTCCTGCACATTTGCACTCTGCTGCCATGGTTCCTCCTATCAGACGTCGACCAGTTTCAGTTTCAGCTTACGTGCGTCCACAGTTCATCTAAGCATGTCGCGAGGCATTCGCCTCAAGGACACAGCCCGGCGGCAACGCCGGCAGTCCTGCATAACCCCATGTTGTCCGGCTTGCATGGCTGACTCCTACCAACGTCATTGCCAGTTTTCGCGCAATCGCAGATAATGCAAGTATGTCGCGAGGCAGTGGCCTCAAGGACACATCCCGGCGGCAAGGCCGGCAGTCCTGCACAGTCTCACGCTTTGCGGCTACCATGGGTTGCCTTCTAGTCGACGATGGCCAGTGTCAAGGCCAGCTTTCGTGCGTCTACAGATTATGAACGCACGTCGCGAGGCATTCGCCTCAAGGACACAGCCTGGCGGCAAGGCCGGCAGTCCTGCACAATCGCACTCTGCTACCATGGTTATCTCCTATCAGAGGTTGGCCAGCTTCATTTGCAGATTTCGTGCATCCACAGTGTAACTTTGCAAGCATGTCGCTTATGCGGCCGCGGGTCGAATCGTATTCTTCGGCGCGCGATCCCCTTGCCTGCCGTCGCGTCGCGTTGTGTAACCGTAGGGGTACGCAGCTCAGAGGTGGCGTGAGGACACGTTGGCCACATATTATCTCAGCCACCTACTCCCTTGTTGCACCCTGCCGCACGCGCACGCACTGGTACACAGCGCTGTTTACTCTGAGTCTCATTACCTTGGCGTCTTCACTCCGCCGCATCGTCCATGCCGGCAGGAGGTGAGGTAACCATTGCCTCTCAGCTTGCCGTCGCGTCGCGTCGTGTAACCGTTGGGGTACGCAGCACAATGGTGGCGTGGGTTGACGTTGTCCACTTATTATATCAGCCACCTACTCCCTTGTTGCATCCCGCCGCACGCGCACGCACTGGCATTCAGCGCTGTATACTCTGAGCCTCATTACCTTGGCGGCCTCGCTCCGCCGCATCGTCCATGCAGTCAGGAGGTGTGGAATCCATCACCCCTCATTCACACTCACCTCCAGCGTGTGCTGATACGCTCCGATTGCTCTGGCGCACAAGCCGAGTAAGGACGAGCCACGGTCTTCACAACGGAAGTTGCCGATGAAAGGTATGCTACCTCTCATACCGTGTGCCTGCCACGGTCCTTGTACCTGGGGGCACGATAACAAGGGTGGGTGAGCCCCAGAGCCCCATCCGTCCTCACAGGGTTACGCCTACCCTCAAGGGCATCAGCAATACACTACAGTCCTCATCCTCCTCCTCCTCCTCATCCTCCCCGTCCTCCTCCTCGTCATCCTCCTAGTCGTCCTCCTCGTCCTCCTCCTCCTCCTCATCCTCCTAGTCCTCCTCATCCTTCTCCTCCTCGTCCTCTTCCTCCTCCTCCTCTTTCTCCTCCTTCTCCCCCCTTCTCCTCCTCCTCCTCCTCCTCCTCCTCCTCCTCCTCCTCCTCCCCCTCCTCCACCTCCTCCACCGTACCCCCCTTCCACTTTTCCCCCTCGTCGTCGTCGTCGTCCTCCTCCTCCTCCTCCTCAGAAGAAGAAGAAGCGGAAGAAGAACAAATAGAATCAGGGAGATAACATGCTAAATCGTTCGATATTCGAGGGCTTCGGTTCCTCAGACTGATCCCCAATATGGTGCCCACCCCAAGATGCGCTCCAGCGGCTGCGCCTCGAGCTCCTCGCCGAAGGCCGTTCCGGGGGTCCCCGAAAGCGTCGCGAGCCGCCGCTGGAGGACCGAGCCATTCATCAAAAGCCAGGACCCCTGCGTCGCGAAGGTATCACGACGGGTCCAGACATGCGGGTGGAAAATCTGCGTCGGGGGTCTTGGGACCTAGCGTTTCCTCAAGCACCAGATGCGCAAGGAATCCCATTGGCAAGGTCCGCCGGCCCCCTTGTGGGGTCATCAGGCTGCGAGGATTGAGTTCGCTGCTCCCTGCACCAGTTCCAGTGTCCGGTTTCCCATGTTACAGTATTGTTTTCTGCTTATCACTGTAAATTGCGACTGCCCGCGCGAGGTGCGCCGTACACGACCAGGTCCACAGAGCTGTGCCCAATCTGGGCAAAGCCCCATCCCGCACGCGTAGCCTCGGGCCAGAACCAGCAGCGCCTGCAGGCCCCATCTGCAGAGATCCGTCTAGTCACCGATGGTGTACCCCCAGACTTGAAGGGGCCCTGGGACACACAAATAGATACACACAAATAACAGGATTCCCCATGTGTTCCCATGTTTTCTGGGTTTATGCCTTTCCCCCCCCCACTGCCCATATGTTCCGATATTCTCTGGGAAATCGACCATTCATTGTGTCTGTGTGTTTTCCCGCACATCCTAAGTGGGGTTCTTGTTGTCTCTGGACACCCCGCGCAGTCATCACCCACACCCCCTCTCTTCCTCCGCATCACTCACTCCCACTCACTCCTTCATTCATCATCATCGTCATCTTCATCAACCACACACTCACACGCTTTCATGATCACCATCATCATCACACTCACACACTGAATGCCTGTTCATAATCACCACTCATTCACTCATCATCATCATTCACTCATCACTTCGTCATCACTCACTCCCCATCTTGAAGATGAAAGATGTCTCAAGCGGGGGCCTCGTCTGTGAGTGAATAGTGAGGAAGTCTCAGGCGGGAGCCCCCTCCCTATGGGCCCCGCAGATCATGCTACTAATCCGAGCGGGTCATCCAGAACTTGTAACTGTCGTCACTTTTGACCTCCTCTGGCTCGACTATAGAAGAAGTCTCAAGCGGAAGCCTTGTCTGTGAGTGAATTGCGAGGAAGTCTCAGTCGGGAGCCCCCTCTCTATGGGACCCGCACTTCACGTTGGTAATCCGAGCGGGTCATCGGAAACCTGTAACTGTCGTCACTTTTGGGCTCCTCAGGCTTGAGTATGGGGGAAGTCGCAGGCGGGAGTCTCGTCTGTGAGTGAATTGCGAGGACCTCTCAGGCGGGAGCCCTTTCCCTATGGGTCCCGCACGTCATGCTGGTAATCCGAGCGGGTCACCGGAAACCTGTAATTGCCACTTTTGGGCTCCTCTGGCTTGGGTATGGAGGAAGTCTCAGGCGGGAGCCTCGTCTGTGAGTGAATTGCAAGGAAGTCTCAGGCGGGAGCTCCCATCCCTATGGGGGCCTGCACTTCACGTTGGTAATCCGAGCGGGTCATCGGAAACCTGTAACTGTCGTCACTTTTGGGCTCCTCAAGCTTGAGTACGGACGAAGTCTCAGGCGGGAGTCCCGACATGGTGTGGAGAACGCACACACTGGGGCCTTCGGCAAAGCTTCTGTGGGGCCACGAAACGTGTGAGGCGTGCGCCGAACTCGTGTGGAGAAGGTATGCGAACGCAGCCACTGGGGCCTTAGGTGGAGCTCCCTTTTGGACCACGAAACGTGTGAGGCGTGCGCCGAAATGCTGGTGAAGGTATGTGAACGCAACCACTGGGGCCTTCGGTGGAGCTCCCCATGGGGCCACGAAGCGTGAGGGGTGTGATGAAACAGGGACAGAGGCAGAGAGGGGAGGGAGGTATGATGAGGAGAAGGAGGAGGGAGGGAGAAAGGGCGGAAGGAAGGACGGGGCACTGCGCATTCAGAACGAGGCCCCGATCCAACAGGATGCTTAGGAAAAAATTACGCGGCAGAGTAAAGCAACGCGAGTCGGAGAGAAAGGCGAAAAGTATGTACAAATGTCGAGCAATTGGCATCTGTACAAGGCTTGGGAGGAGGCCAAACGGGGGCGAGGACGTGACGGCGTGGGAGGGGACGACTGGAAATATGAGAGAGGACGAGTGGGAGTTTGAAAGGGGAAACGAGGGGCGAAGGAGATGAAGGGGGAAGGGAGGGGAGGGAAAGGAGAGAGGGATTTGAAGGGGCCCCAGGACACACTAATAAATACACACAAATCAAAAGATGCCCCATACTTTCCCATACTTTCTGGGTTTTTTCTTCCCTCCCACTTCCCATATTTTCCCATATTTTCTTGGAATCGACGATTAATTGTGTGTGTGTGTGTGTTTTTCCCCTCCTGAGGATTGGAGGGGAGAAGGACAGAGGGACTCTCCCTGCGACGGCACGCCGGCCCCGCGCCTCGAACTCTTATGCACACGTCCGCGGTCCGCGAGGCCCAGTCCAGCTGGCAGCAGATGTGGTACCACCTCGGCCGCCCGCGTGCTTCCTTGGGCGCCCGAGTTATCCGGGGTAACTCGGGTCCGGGGTAACTCGAGTTCGGATTCCCGAAAAACGAACCCGAGTTAGCCCTGACCCGAATTACCCCTGATGATTCGGGGCTCTGGACGCCCGAGTTATCCGGGGTAAGTGGGGTCCGGGGTAAGTCAGGTTCGGATTCCCGAAAAACGAACCCGAGTTAGCCCTGACCCGAGTTACCCCTGATGATTCGAGGCTCTGGACGCCCGAACTATCCGGGGTAAGTCGGGTCCGGGGTGAGTCGGGTTCGGAATTCTGAAAAACGAACCTGAGTTAGCCCTGACCCGAGTTACCCCTGATGATTCGGGGCTCTGAGAGTGATCGCGAGCGGCTGGGGGACGGGGAGCATCGAGCTGAGATCGGCGACGCACCGCCGAGAGGTCGGCGACAGGCCCCTGCATGCTCCAGCCGCACGGGGTGGGGGGGGGGGGAACGTCGAGCTTTTGAGGGCGGGGCCCGCTAGGGGGCCCGGGCTCGGGAGGAGGAGCGTCGAGCTCGAGTCGGCGGCACATCGCCGATAGATCGGCGGCAGGCCTCCGACTCTCAAGCCGCCTCCTCCTCCTCCACCCCCTCCTCCCCCTCCTCCTCCTCCTCCTCCTCCTCCTCCTCCTCCTCTTCCCCCTACTCCTCCTCCCCTCCTCCTCCTCTCCTCCTCCTCCTCCTCCTCCCCTCCTCCTCCTCCTTCTTCCTCCTCCTCCTGCTCCTCCTCCTCCTGCTCCTCCTCCTCCTCCTCCTCCTATCGGGCACCAATCGGCGATCAGTGGGCGATTGGAGGTCGATGCGTTCTGCCCTGGGCCAATTGCCCCCCAGCGCAGCCCCTACCCACGTCTCCCTTTTGTCCCCCCTCCGCTCTCGAGCACACTGCGCTCTAGCGCGCTGCATGGCCGGTGCCCCTGCGGCCACCGCCACGCAATATCGACCGCACAGAACCCACCATTCCAGTGATCCCGGGGCCCACTGCCAGCGGTAGGGGGAAAAGATTATGACCCTTCCGACACCCCAGGCCACGAATCTGCGAGGCGGCCATGGGACTATCCAGGCCTCCAGCGTCGTCAACTCCATTGGTTTGGAGGTACGTAGTTGAGCAGGCTGCCGAAATTGGCCAACTGTTGGCAGTTCACTGTGTCGGCAAAGTGTATGTTCGGATGCGTCGTCGATCTGTTCGAACCACGGCGCCGATTTTCGGAAAACAACGGCGGCTTGTTTTTGTGTTGTTCCCACAAGACCCCTTCCCAGGGACCAGGGCTTCATCCCGACACTGTTCCAAACAATCCTGTGTTGTTGGTCCCTCGTTTGGAAGAGACAGCGCACCGCGTTACTTCTCCTCCTCCCGTTGCACCGTCCCTTCTCCTCTCATCACCATCACCATCACCATCACCATCACCAACATCATCATCATCAGCATCATCATCATCATCATCATCATCATCATCATCATCATCATCATCATCATCATCATAATCATCCTCATCATCATCATGATCATCATCATCATCATCATCAACATCATCATCATCAACATCATCATCACCATGACCATCACCGTCATCGGCATCAGGATCAGCATCATCGTCATCACCATCAACAACAACAACATCATGGCCGTCATCATCACCATCGTCTTCATCATTATCGCCGTGGTCGTCAGCAAAAATCGGCATGAGCTTCGGCATTCCCCTCACACGTTTCGTGGCCCCACAGGGAGCTCCACCTACGTTCGCAGTGGCGCAGCCCACATCTGGGCGACACCCCAGTTTCGGCACA